CTGCGTAGAATTTCATTGTGTAAATGTACCATAGTTTTTGGATCCATTCATTTACTGATGGGATGGGCACCTAGGTTGCTTCCAACTCTTGGCTATTGTAAATTGTGCTGCTGTAAACATTGGGTGCATAGGTTCTTTTGGATTTGTGTTTCAGGGTTCTTAGGATATAATCCTAGCAGTGGAATTGCCAGATCAAAAGGCATATTCATTTTTAGTTCTCTTAGAAAATTCCATACTGTTTTCCATAATGTTTGTACCAGTCTGTAATCCCACCAGCAGTGAACTAAGGTCCCCTTTTCCCCACAACCTTTCCAACATTTGTTGTTTGTTGCTTTGTTTATGATAGCCATTCCGACCAGTGTAAAGTGGTATCTCATTGTGGTTTTAATTTGCATCTCTCTGATAACTAATGATATTGAGCATCTCTTCATGTGCCTCTGGATCCTCTGTATGTCATCCTTGGAGAAGTGTCTGTTCAAGTCCTTTGCCCATTTTTTAATTGGATTAGTTGTCTTCTTAGAGTGAAGTTGTGTAAGTTCTTTGTATATTTTGGGGATTAAACCTTTGTCTGAGGTATCATTGGCAAATATATTTTCCCGTACAGTTGGTTCTCTTTTTATTTCAATGCTGTTTTCTTTAGCCATGAAGAAACTTTTAATTTTGATGAGATCCCATTTGTTTCTTCTTTCCTTTATATCCGTTGCTCTAGGGGACATGATTTCAGTGTTTGTTTACTTTTTTCTTCTTTTAGCCTTGCAGTTTTAAAATGATATGTCACAGCTATAAGAGAAAAAGTCCTTTTTCTTTTTTTTAATATATTTTTTTACTGTTGTTCAAATACAGTTGTCTTCCTTTTCACCCCACCATACCCCCCTGCCCCACCAATCCCCTCCTCCTGAAACCTACCCCCTTTGGCTTTATCCATGTGTCTTTGATCAATTCTGAAATGTTTTTTTTAAATCATTTTTATTGTTATTATATTATAGTTGTCCCAGGTTTTCCTCCTTTGCCCTCCTCCACCCATCCCACTGCCCACTCTCACAGTCAGTTCTCACACTGTTGTCCATGTCTGTGGGTCATCCATACATGTTCTTTGTCTAGTCCCTTCCCCTTCTTTCCACCATTATCCCCCTCTCTCCTCCCCTCTGGTCACTTTCAGTCTGTTCCAAGTGCCCATGCCTCTGGTTCTATTTTAAATTAACACACTTTTATAAAAAAATAAAATTACGATCATTTATATTTACCTTTCAGATTACATGAATCAATAGATTGTATCAAAATTTACCTTGTTCCTAGTTAAAAAAAAACTTATTGAGATTTATTACAATGTTTCAATTTATTGGCCAACAAAGAGTAATTAAGAAGGAAATGATGAACTCTTGTGATATGTTTTCCTTTCCAAAGTATGTGTTTGTATGTGTTTTGCATTCTGTGCTGTGGAGATATTATGATGTTTTTTTAAATAATAGCTAACCTTTTGCCCTTGCTGGTGTACCTCAGTGGATTGAGCGTGGGCCTGTGAACCAGACAATCGAGGTTCGATTCCCAGTCAGGGCACATGCCTGGGTTGCAGGCCAGTTCCCAGCAGGGGACGCATGAAAGGCAACCATACATTGGTGTTTCTCTCCCTCTCTCCTTCCCTTCCCCTCTAAAGATAAATAAATAAAATCTTAAAATAAATAAATAAAATAAAAGGGCCATTTGCTACAACTAGCATTTTAAAAAAATAATAATAGCTAACTTTTTGATATATGTTTTATGAAAACATTGAGTAAATTTCAATTTTGTTTTAGCATCACAATACAAAATTTTTATTGTCTTACTTCATCATTGTTTTCTCTAAACAATAGCCAATGGACTTAATAGAACTAAAGCAATTCTTAGGAATAGATTTATGGTTATTTTTATTTCAATAGATAATTTTACTACAGTACCTTTATTATTATAGTAAATGTTAGGGAAATAAGTGTTATTTCCCTAACATTTATTAATACTTCAGCCATTTATTATGTACTAAGTACTATATTTTGTTTCTGTATGCCATATTAACATGATTACCAGATTACTCGGTTGACAGAAAGAGCAGTGACATGTTAACAGTATAAATCTGAATCAGACTGTCCATGCTTGATTTCTGACTGCAGTTCAGACCCATAAATTCCTAGCAATATATCATTGATAAATTATTTATCTTTATTTCAAATTCTTACCTGTAAACCAGAAATTATAAATATAGTTATCTTCTAGGGTTAATGGTATAGAAAAGTGTATTAACAAAGGACAATTAATAGACATTAAATAAATGTTAGTGATTTCTGTCTCTAAATTTCTCATGAAATGTGTGGCATTCTGAAGTAGTATTAGTCATGTCCACCAAGGCAGCTCCTCTAATTTTATTCACTGTGGTCCCAATGCCCATTTTCTGGATGATAGGACTTTTTGAGAAATGCGAAGACCTAGATGTGTTTTACCTTAGTCTCTTATTTAAATAAGCTATTCCTTTCATCATTGGAATCAGGGGACACCCTTATGAGCAACAGTTGGATATTAAGAGACAAATGTCAGGTCTAGTTGATGCCCTGGAATTTTATTATTTTTGTTAACTCTCGAAGGTTAGTATTCTCTGGATGTGGTATCAGTTCCCTTACAACCACTCACTTTATAGAAAGAGAAATAAGGAGTGTCCTAGATATCAGAGGTATCTATAATTCACTGGCATATTTCTCAGCAACCACATCTTATGTACAAGTCTATCTGGACATGGATTCCTTAGGGCTGGGAATATAACCTATGGGGAACTCCATCCCTTGGTGTCCACTGGAGTCAGGGAATAAATGAGGCTATGAATGCAAGATCTGCTTGGAGAGAAAAGGCTGGCTAATCTCTCAGAGGAGAAGAGCCCCAAAGTCCTTTCTCCTGAGGCTTTTATTCAGAACAATATGTGCAGGGATATATAGCATACATGCATAGCTCATTAATCAATGTTAGAAGGCTACAGTTAATGCAAAACAGATGTTTACAGGTAACAATAGAAGGAACACAGAGATGAACCTCAGGTTAGAGTCTGTTAGACAAACTTGTAGGGGAGCTTTGCCTGCAGAGCCCTGTATCCACCGAGAATGAGAATAAGTCTAATAACACATGATCTATGTGGGGAGGAGAGGTGGCTGATCTCTCAAAAAAGAGGGACTCAGAACCTGTTCCTTAATGGGATTTTGTTGGGTTTAATTTGCATAGGAATACAGGGCATACACATAAAACTCATCAATCATTGTCAGGCAGAAATGATTAAATAGATAACAATCAATGAACTCTGAGGGTTTATTCTGAGTCAGGGTCAGATAGTTAAAGTGCCAAAAAACTTTAGGGAACAAACTCACTTCAAACTTGAACCCTTATCATTTAAATTGAGGGTATTAGCAAAGCAGGTTTCATAGGATTTTATGCATCTTAGGCCTGATCACCCCAGGGAACCTGCCCTTTCCAGCACAGGGCCACACCGACCTCTGGCATTGTTTCAGGCTTAAGTCAGGTTGGGGAAGTAAGGCAGCCAAAAGATTAGGAAACTTCTTACAGACAGAAGGAGGACTTGGGCTATATCAAAACTGAGGGGTAAGGGTCCATCACCCCCTTTTTCTGTAAATCCTAAATCCCTAAGTTCTTCCCTAAGTCCTTCCCTGAGGGCCCTTTCATGACCATGACTATCTTAGGTTGTCCCTCCTTTAAGGAATCTTACCCATCATTGGCTAATAAGTCATCTGCACAAGGCCAAGTAGGGTGAAAAGAAAGGGGGCAGAGGCAGTGCCCCTACAAGGAAGATAAGCTTTGTCTCCTCAATGGCTTATCATCTCATGGTCTCTCTGCTCAGCTTTAGCCATGGGGGGTTATAGTTTCTGAAACAAGGCAGGGTGGTTTCCAGCACATACTGACACCAAATGGTGTTTAAGGCAGGACTCAGGAAGAAGTGTTCTTCCCTGCCTTGAAGTTAAACACCTGGTTATTCATTATCAGGGTTGCAGCAGAACTTGCTACAGTGGATACAATGCACTCTTTAGGCCAGATTTCCTACAGGCACCCTCAGTGCTAGCTTCGGGTCATGCCTGCCTCCCAGCATTTCCAGCATTCTGGTCGAGACTTACAGGCCCTTATTCAAGGCCTGGCTTGCATGGTGCTACAATTCCCAATACTACACAAAGTGGCTCCCAACAATAACTCTGGTCAGTTGACCCCCAGGGTGCTACTTTTTCCCTACTTCATTTAATTAGGAACATTCTTTTGAGGATAGTAATTAACTGCATCATTTGCAATTCCTATAACTCATTGTTCCATCTGCTTAACCTGTATAATAGTGGGAAACAAGGATAGGCATGTGGTGCAGATAGCTTCTTCAAAATGGCTAGTGTTGAATGTAAATTTGAGGGTTTATTTCTGGGCTCTCTATTCTGTTTCATTGATCTATGTGTCTATTTTTATACCAGCACTAGGCTGTTTTGATTACTATGGCCTTATAGTACAGTTTGATGATATAAGGTTGAGTAATTCCTCCATCTTTGTTCTTTCTCACAATCTCTGTTGCTATGTGGGACCTTTCGTTAGCAGGTAGAGAGACTGAGCAAAAAGGACAAATGACTTACGGACATGGACAACAGTGTGGTGATTGCTGGGGGGGAGGGTGTAAGGGACTAAAATGTAATATAAAAAATACAATAAAAACTTAAAAAACAGAGGTTGTCTCCAACATGCAATTTCATTTTAAAGACTTGTTTAATATAACATACTTTTTAAATATAACAATTCAAACAATATGATTCAAATAGTATTCTCCTGTTGTTTTCACAGAATTTGCAAATTGTATCAGAAATCTTTGTATAATACAGTTTTTATGGGCTTCAGTTTTTTTTTATTTAGAGACAAAAGGGTGACAACCCTCTAGTTGGTCAACACACAGAATGTAAAAAATTGTGAACATCATCAAAACACTAAAATTAATACATTCACACATTCCCTTGGGCAGCACATATACTAACATTTAAAAAATACAGAGATTAGCATGGCTCCCACACAAAGATGACATGTGAAAGTAATAGATTCATTTTGTCTTGTTGGACTATGATATGCTGACCTTAGTATGTATCATTTCTCAGGTTCTGCATGGACGGGATCTAAGCTTGCACACACTGCAGTGAGTGAGGGAAGGCATCACAGACTAAACAGCAGTCACTCTGCCTACAATTTCAGCCAACCAGCTTCCTAGCCATGTTCTCTCTCTCTCTCTTTTGTCTTCCTTTTTGTTCATAACCCTACAGTTTGACCTAAGACCCTCAAGTGTAGCATCCTGGGTCCCTGGTGACTTGAAAGCATTGTTCTGTGACCTACAAGTGAGACAGAAGGTAACATCACAGGCAGGTATGAGCTTGCAGCTCCAGCCCAGGTTAATCTCATCAATAAATGACTTGCAGGTGGACAGACTATCTGCATTGACATTTCATCAGAATGACCCTAGGGACAATATGTGCAAACACATGATAGAATTAAACAAATACTTAAACTTCATTTTATTTGGTTTGTCTCTTCCCCTATATTTTTGTTATCTGGAGAAATGCTTTCAAATAAACAAAAGTCATAACTGCTACCAGGTTGGTGACCTGGCCCTTATTAGGCCTGGTAGGGCCACAGGAGTGGGTTTCAGCAAAATATTCACTAGTTTTCCAGATGTGCTTTTTCAGGGTCATGGTCTCTACTGAATGGTCAGTGCCAGAATCAGGGGTGTCATTAGGCACTTCAGCTGGCCATGGAATCATCCACCTAATTTTGCTGCTTTTCTGCGCCTGGAGCTGAAATACATCTGAGGCCTAGATGTTAACTCTAAAGGAGGTGACCTGTAGTTGCCTGTAAATTGCTCATCCAATTTGTTCAGCTGTCTGTCTATTTCCCTATTTCACTTGTCCCATCTTGCTGGCTTTTTTTCAATAACCATCTAAACAAAAAAATAAATTAACATCAACTGTCCTTATTAATTGAGCTGATCATTTGAGAGCTGATATAATAAATGCTATATAACAACAGATCAAATATGGGCACTAACATTCATCAAATTTGATTGCAGAAATAAAAACTTATTTTAGACAGAATTATACCTGCATGCTTTGTATTTATAGAAAGTCAAGATTATTGATGTAGAAATATAAACTGATACAATGAATACTAAAGGGCACATAGCTTTTTACATGTCAGGAATGGAAAAGAATTACATACAAAAGGAAAGAAGAATGTGTCTTATTCCAGATATTTAATGGCTCTGAGCTATACCATAATCAACTATTTTCAGAATGTATTTCTCAAAAATGGTTTTTATATTAAAACACATTTTACTAGTATATATGTACATATGCCACACTTTATATGTTATATTTTAAAATTATACATTGTTATATATACTTATGATAATAACACTATTTTTATATGTGAAAGGGAATTTATTAATACATAGTTTGATGGTTTTACTATTATGTAGAAAAGTGAAAGAGAAAAACGAAAAGTTCCTTAAAATGATCCAGTATGTTAATAGTCCTTTATGGAAACTCAGTAGTTAAAATTTTTCCCAACCAATTGCCAATAACATTAAATGACATTTATATACCAATAATTATGAATTCATTCAGAGTTCTCTCTTAATTACAAACGAATGTATTTATTGCCTTCTAGATACCTCTGCATAGATATCTAATAGATTTCTCAAACTTAACATGCCCTCCCACAATCCAAATGCCCACCCAAGTTAATGTCCATCCTAACTTTCCACTTGCTTGCTTCCAAGACCTTGGGGTCAATCTCAAGTCTCTCTCTCATACACTTATATGCTGTATCAGCAAAAATTTATCCCAAACCACAGCCATGATACTGGTTAGGTGACCTCATGGCTCAACTGCTTTAGTCTAATTGTTTTTCCCCTATTTTTATGTCTAAGTGTTGCCTCATGCTTTCCCCTGTCTTCCCTAGTCTGCTGCTACTTGCACACTAACTCACTGCAATTTCATTATTATGTTTTGGCATATATAAACCTTGAGTTCTTTAACTTGTTGCCATCCTCCCCAAATATCTAAATGGTTTGCTCTTTCACTTCGTGCTACTCCTCAAATGGGACCTCCTTAAAGACCCCTTTCCTGAGCATTTTGTTGGAATGGCAATGCCCTGGAGACTGGACTCCCAAAAGCTTATAATAGGCCTTATCACCAGATGACATATTATGATTAAACACAGTTTTTGTTTGCTCTGTGAATTTTCTCATCCCCAATCAAACAAAATCTCCATGAGGCAGAGATGTTGTCTCCTTTGCTCAGTGATATGTGTCTACACTAGAACAGTGCCTGGCATATATCAGGCATGGAGTACTTTTTTGGTTGACATAAACTGAATACCTACTATAGCAAAAGGGTAAAATAGTTTCTGACACAGTAATGGGGGTATGATATCTTGAACTCTGCTGGAAGTATTTCCACAGCTAAAAGTTACTGTATTTGTAAAAGAAGTAACAAGAACAACAACAAAATACATAGCATCTAATAGGACTGTGATGATTTTTATGAGACAAAATCAAAAGCCAGGCCAAAGATTTTATCATTTATATTTGTGAGTAGTAATTGAACTTTTGGGCCCCAAATCTTCTCCTTTATCTGATGAAATGCTCAAGATTAATTGTACACACTTTATGAATGATTTGCTAGCCAGATAGTACTTTCTACTATGATCTGCACTTTTTTTTTATCTCCCTGGGCACAGCACTGATAAAATATAGCAAGGTATATAAATAAAAGTGTAGTTTTAGGTGACGCGAGTAATTCCCTTTATATCTCATGTTGGCCAGATCTATACAGGTCTATTCTGGCTGACTGGTGGACTTTACTACTCGAGGAATTAGGAAAAAGTTGGATAGGTTGCAGTAAAGAGATACTAAGATAACCCTGGACAGGTAGCTCAATTGGTTAGAGCATCTTTTTGATGTGCCAGGGTTGCAGGTTCTATTACTGATCAGACCACATACATATAAGAATCAACCAATGAATGCATAAATAGGTAGAAAAATGGATGTGTCTCCCTCTCTCTCTCTCTATCACTCCCTTCCTCTCTCTCTTGAATAAATAAATAAATAAAAAGAGAGCTAAAACAGCAGCAATGGAGAGAGGTAAAATAATGTGCTTGATTTGGTTTTATAAATAGAAAGCTGAAAGGTATGCTTACAACTGTTATCCAGGCTATAAAGTGTTACTTTTTAAGAAGTGATGACCCTAATGTTTTTAATCACATTTGAACAAAGATTAAGAATAAAAAATGTGAGACATTGAGTTTTCAAAAAAAGAAGATTAAAGAATAGTTTTCATATACTGTGTATTAAAGGGTAGAAATTAGAATTTCATTCCTTGGAGATATTTAGAAGCAGGTTGTTTGAATTAGTTCTTGAAGGCAGGACTGAATGACCAGCAACATTGCCTACCGTTTACAACCCTATGAATGACCACATGTATAGTTTGAAGGAGTCCATTTTCCCCACTGGAAAGCTCTTTCTCCAGAAAACCATATACTCTTCCAGTAAATTTTTAAGTATGGATTTGAGAGGTTTTTTTTAGGGTAATGTAGTTATCCTCAGAAGTAAAATATTAGAACTAAAATCTGGAAGATAAGACTCAAAACTATTAATTAAAACTATTAATTTCAAACAGGTAATTTTGTAAGTCATCCATTTTAATACTATCATAAGAAATTAAATTTTATTTTCTTTGTCTCTTGCTTGTTTGTTTACTTTTTTCTTCCCAGGAATGCTAATTTATGTCAGTAAAGCTGTTTTAATAATGAAACAAATATCTTAGAGAAAATCCTGATATCAGTCAAAATAATTAAAACCACCCTGGCTGGATGGCTCAGTTGGTTAGAGCTTGTCCCATACACCAAAAGGTTTCAGGTTCTATTCTTGGTTACGGTACATACCTAGATTGGGATTTGTTCATGGATTGCGGGGGGGGGGGGGGGGGTGTACTGGAGGTAACTGACTGATGTCTCTCTCTTTCTCTCTCCCTCTAAAAGCAATAAACATTTCTTCTGGTGAGAATTAAAAATAAAATAATAGTGAAATTTTATTCAAGTATATTAAATAAGAAATCATGAATACAAATCAAATGCCAGGATACAAGTTTTATTTTGATTATATGATATTGTTTATAAACTTTGAAAAAACAATTATGTAAAAAAGCATTCTTCCTTTGAAAGTGCATACACTTTTCCAGGTGGGCTGCTAGTTGTATTCACTGAAACTCTTTTCTTTTTCCTTTTCTAAATCTTGTGGAAAGCTAAATCAAACACATATTAAGCCAGTGAAGGAGCTTAAGCTATGCTGGTGGATAGATTCAAACAAGGAGATTGTTATGGATTCTGTAACTGAGGAGCCTGTTGGAAGGACAGGAAGTTGGTTGGGGTCATTATCTCCTACCTAACAGAGTCACAAAAAAACAATGTTGCTTTTGCTCTAAGATATCAGTTAATGCATTTGCATCTGAATCACATAAATTCTAGTGCCAAGACAGATGCTCCAAAGGAGAATTTTTGCTCTTTGAAACTATCAGTCTGCTGATGCTCTGGTGGTCTGTGGGAAATTGTACCACATCTACCCTGTTTAAGCCTCCTTTCCCAAACAGCACTAAACCTAAGATTTTAATCTTAGAATATTCATTCTAATGCCAATAATCCATTCAACCTGTGAATGGTTACATTTTTGAAAACATATTTTAATTAAAAATTTAAAAATCTCTGAATTTTCAGTATCTTTACTTATTAAGTCATTTTAAACTTTCTAGACTTTAATTGTCTCAATACAGAATGGATAAGGAAGAAATGTCTGTAAAAGCTTTTTATAATATATGTGATATCAATCAAATAAAATATTAGTAACAGGAATAACAAATGTCTATAGGGATCAGGGTTACCATAGACAAAGCTATTTTAAGCTGGGACAGAATTCCATATTTCTGTGGACATACACACAGACACAGCACACACAAAATATTTAGAGAATGGCAAAAGTCAAATGTGCCTAAGTAACATCAGCTTGAGT